CAAAACCGAACCGCGAACTATTTAAATCTTATATAGCCTAGGCGTAACTTTAATATAAACTATATGAGGTATTAACAAAACGTACACCTGTCTAGGCACCTAATAGTTCCAGTTCAAAACGTTTTTTCCAATGTAATAATATTTATTTAAACATCATGCAATGAAGCACCTTTATTTGTAACAAAGAAGTAAACTATGGAAGTAATAGTAAAAAATGTAATCCACAAAACAATTTGTACACCTTTTACAACCGTAAACAGTTATAAAAAGCCAAGAAACGTCAGTAAAGCTAATTAAAATATCTAGCAGGTATTTAATTTTAAAATAGCACTTGTAAACACTTAAGAACGGCGAACGGGAGCGTGTGTCGAAAGCCATCGATGTATAAAGTCTTAACTATATACTATATCGATGTATACAGTTAAACTATATACATCGATGTCCGAAGCTAATCTAAATGCCTACTCAACGAAGGTTATTTAATTTTTAAATGGCAGAATTACCCAGACGGCGAATTGGCCGGTTTCTCCCAGTATCGACATGGGAGAAACGGACAAGATGTTTATCAGTTTCCCAGGCTACGTTCCCAGGATGGCTTCCGTTGACCGGCCCAGATCTCTCGTATCCTGGGACATGTGGGGTCCAGAATACAGCCGGCAAATGTGAACAGCTGTAATTAATTAACGATCTGCGATTATTTTATGTACCTGATAGGCTAATTGGAGAGATTTTATAGCATTGGTAGATTTATATTGAATACAGGTAATGTAGTAGTTTTAAATGGAGCAATATTATATTTGATTAGATTAATCACGTTCCACTATATTTTTTGTTCTGAACAGCTGATGATAATGAAAAAAATACGTTTCTTTGGGTTATGGCGTGTGTTGATTGATTTAATTCCTCTTACCTTACCAAATGTTTAACTATTTTTGCAGCGATACGCATGTAAAATAATTTTTTCCCAGATATTACAGCCACATCATAAAGCGTAGACTACAGATTACCCTAAAATTATTGATCAATACTTAGTCGATATTTTTCAAACATGACCGGTCAAAAAACACACAAAAACCGACCTTAAATTATACAGTAGAATAATAATGCTTTGTGCAGTATTCAATCTCAATATACAATTTAAACCGAAACTAAACATTCGTCTGATACCAAACTATATCAAAAGAATGTCAACATAAATTTATGCATCTTGTAAAGATTAGCAACACAGATATTGAGCTCAAACAATTCAAAATTTGTCAGCGAAATCTGCAATACACCTAAACCTACCATATATCTGTTACACGTTCTAATACAACGCATCCAAACACTTGTAAAAATTAGTACCACTTTTCTCTTAAACAATTTGACAGCAAAATCTGCACGCTACACGCAATGATGGGATCAGGTTACCATGAGATACCAAACTGACAATCTCAATCTCATGTCCACAACTGCATCTAATGAGATCACACGGTCCCGGGTGGTCCGATGAGATATGAGATAGACTTCATCTCCAGAGTATGGCGTAGTGAACTGTAGAATGCGTGCCTTCTCCACCCCTAGGCACGGGGTTCGGTTACCCGTCTTGCTAGAAACATGATACTCTAGTTTTTACCGATAGTTGGCAATTGCGTACAGGTCCGCAAAAAGGTTATTTTGCACATCGTGTCAAAAGAGGACAAAAATTGAACTGGATGGCGATAGTTTGCAAGTAAAAGAGCTATTTCACCCATCCCCTTGGAAATAAAATTTCTCGTTTTCTGTGAGAGATCTTGTATACAGGTTAGCAAAGGTTACCTACTAAATTATTCAAATTACAAGTTTTTTTAGTTAGGCTATTTTGCTTGGTATAATTTGTTACACTTTTGACATGTTTTGTGAGATTCTAGGTTAGAGCTACCAATGTTTAAAATGTTATTTATTTTACTTTAAAGGCATTTTAAACATCCTTTACTTTGTGGTTTTAATACAAGGGGACGAGATACAGGCTTAGTTTATATAAATATCATTATATTTAAGTTAAAATAGTTTTAAAATAACAAGTATTGACTTTATTCATTGAAATGAACGTGTACCGAATGAATACATAACTTAGAATTTGTCTTTAGCTGAACGACAAAGGTTACAATAATCTGTAAATGAGTATGTTTATTTATGTAGGTCTACATGCGTTTCACACAATGAATATTTATGCATAGTAAGCGTTTTTGTTGTATACATTTGCATCAGTGTTTAAAATATTTGAACAAAACGCCTATTGAACAAAATTTGGAAGAAAATAGACATGGTATTGGCTGAATTAAAAATTAACTGTGTTCTGCATAATCTCATAAATTAATGTGTCTCATTTGGTAAACAACATACACGTCGATTTTTATCTCAAGATAAGTTCCAAATATATTAGCTAATTACGCTAAACAAAAATTATTTGCAATGGACTGCAAAAATAATGTTGACTGGTGTTACTCATTCTTATTGATAACTATTGATAGCAAAGTGTAATTGAATGTTCGTTAATTTAGCAAAAACAAAATTCACTGACGTATTATATTTCAAACAAAACGGCTATATTGTGATACAGCACAAAAATATAGGTAAACAAGTTTTCAAATTACCAATTATAGTGTAGTTTCAGTAATATTAGTAAAGTAAATCGTATAAAATCGAGTCATACATTATAATAGACGCCCCTGAAGTACACATTGAACTTGAAACACCTAACAGAACAAAATTGCACTTGTAAACCTTCATTCAGTTAAAAAGATATTTATCGTAACGATGTCGATTTTTAGTTACACCAGGTTAAGTGAAACCACGATTACTAGAAAAATACCAACGTTTCAAATCAGGTGATGTGTGCTAAAACATAACATACAACATGTAAGTTTTGGGGGGTTGTAGCTTGAAGCCCCAAAGTTTTAGGGAGGCGCTGATGTCCCGAACTTCATCACTGTTGTTACACCAAGCGTCGATAGACTACCTTCTGTTTACAATGGCTATTTACAAACCTACAAACCGATCGTCATTATCCATTTCGGTTTGTTATGGATCTTTAGGAGAAACGGGGGCTTCAAAACAGAACCAGTGTTTATAGGACAAAGCCAAGTGTTAGAGAATTTTGTGATAGGAGGTCGAGGAAAATTTAAGCTGAGTCTATATGTAATTGTGATTTAAGAGCTAACAATATTTTGCGTTTAATGAAATTAGAATTAGAGTGGCACAACTATATATAAAACACTACAGGATTGTGGGATTCTATTTTGCAGCTTAAAAAACGGTGTTGTAATGAAGAAACTATGTTTAAGAAGTAAATAAAAATATATCCATGAAGTAGAGTTAAGTTAGTTCAGTTACATCTTAGAGAAAAGGTAATAGGCCTAACATATTTTAATTGTCATTTATTTGTACTAACTTTGAATTTAAAAGATTATACCAAATTTATGTGATTTTAGTGTACCGTACTGCAAAATCTTTTTCTGTAAATTATATATGTGAGTAATTTTATTTAACCCCGTTTTCTATATACAGTAACCAGCCTTTACAAAAAGGTCGTCTCTAAATTCACAGCCACAGACAATATTTTTATTTCTTTTCATATATACGCTTTTAGGTATAAAATAACACTTTAAAATTTACCAATCATATAGAATTTATAAAGTTTTAAGAGAAACCTAATGATAATTTGTAATTAAAATTGCTCTGTAATTTCAACCTTTTTGATGATGTAAAACTGTAGTTACACTTTTATTGTGCATACTTCAAAACCAACTTTAAGCACAACATTTTCATTTGTAGTTCAAAATGTTATATTCAACTTTTAAAATTCAAGCTGGTACTCTACTGTCTTTATTTGAAGCAATAAACCGATTCAACGCATTTCAATAAATTGCAAAATTCATATGCGTAAAAATTCCGCTATAGCGAAATTGCTTGTATTTTATTATTCATAATTTAATACACGATAAGCAAGCCGTCCACAATTCACCTATATCCACGGGGCTGCAATTTTCTTGTAAACAAATATTGTATACACAGCCATAACGATTTCGCGGTCGCCAACATATTCGACAAGATCACCGTCGATTATAAAGTGATTAGTATAAGAAGAAAGTAATAAGTCTTGTAGCAGGCTGATTTTATCACAAACCGGACTGGTGAGCCACTGCCTTTATAATAAACAAGAGCAGTTATTGCGACCGGCCTTCTTGATCGCGATTATTTAAATATAGAGCATTGTTACGATTCGTCCAATCGCCGACACATCTCCGAGATTCAAAAGGCCGTGGAGTTCTTGTGTTGTTGTCGCTGGAGTTGTGTTTGAGATAATTTTGAAAGTTATCTGTGTAATTTATTTAAGGTTAATCGTAAAATATTGTTTGGATTTATTTAGTTACACTTCTCTTGCAGTTCAAGTAAGAACCGTTCAGAATACATTTGTTCATTTAGACCCTATTTAATGGTTTTTGAGATACAGAAGTAATAATCGTGGCGAGAGTTCTTCGAACAAAATTCGTTGTGAGCTAAAAACATTTACCGATTAGTGCTAATTTTAAACTATGTTAGAGGGACAAGTAAAGTTAATTTTCATAAATATAGAATATAGCCTATCTAATTCGTTCCTGCTTTTAATAGTGTCATAGTGAAGAAAAGAAAATTGACTCGAAAATTGATATGCAAGTAACTGACGAGCATATTCCTGATGTATTTCCTGCAGGATTTTAACCCGTTTATAATGACAACAATAACAAAAGTGATTTTTACGGTTCGATGATGCGTAAATAACTTTGTTATTCGAAAGATATAAAATATTACTTAATTTCGTTGTGGGTTAATGTTTTCCTAAGTTTTGCAAGATTCGACCCCAAATCCCAAATGCAAACAAGCAACAAACATTTAACCACGCATAGGTAGGGTAAATCCAGTTTCCCAACACGACAAATTTCACCTGATATAAATTGCACATTTTTTTAGGAATCAACAAAACTAAATTCTCCACTCACATTGAGAGGCCCCGGCATCCTCGGCGGTTTCCCCGGGGGCACCAAGTAGTCTGGGAGTTTCCCATTCATTTCCCCCGGTTTCCCCGAGTTTTCCCCAGAGTTCCTCCGCATCTGCCTCCTTTGCGACCTCATCGCCTCCATCTCCAACTCCAGGTGCCTCAACTCCACCTCGGCCACTTCCGGTCTCCTAGGACCCATGTCCGGTCGTCCGAGGAGTTGGTTCAAGTCCTTATAGTGGAAGTTGTTTCCCCAGTTGAACTTGTCAAAGTTCAACATCGGGGGGTTCGCGTCGCTCTTCTCGTTCTTCACCCTCTCGATGGTCAGTTCGTCCCTGTAGCGCCCCCCTGGCTCGAACACTCCCCCCTTGTGCCCCTCGGGCGGTCCCAGAAACGTCGGGACGTTGTTCTGCATCAGTAGCATCGGGGGTGCAGAAACACTAGGTTCATTTTGAAACTTTTTCACAATTGTATTGGGTTAATATTTATTGCACATGATCCACCACTGTTTAACCACCAGAGTACCTACTACAACCCTTACCTACACAGAATATTCAATATAGAATTTTCGTCACCTAAACACAAATACGAATCACTTTTAAAAAGTATCCCGCAAAAACATATTAGTACGCTTTAGATTAGTCTTATCTATTCCACTATCACTGATACGCCGCACTTGTTTACCAAGTCACATCACAACACAAGTCGATCACTGTACAGCGGTGCGCGGTGCGCTAACTACGACAATTTGGCACTGTTTAGATAAAACGAGCCGAGCGGGACGGAGCAATGCGTTCGTAAATTGGTGAAGAAAAAAACTGACGTATATCGAAGGTGAGATGGATGAGTGACACGGCCGCCGCTAGGTAGCAGCACAGTCGCTCCCTCTCTCTCGCTCCCCCCTCCACCGTTGCGCGCCGTCGACAAAACAACATAACCCTTGCCTCTATTTGAGCACCCCTTATTTGGAACCAAAGAAATCGTCAGCTCGTCTTTTTGTTTTGCTTCGTGTTTTGTTTGGACCTCGCCGGCGCTCTCGACTCCTGCCGGGCTCTTAGATGGACGGGTGAATAAATATACAGTCAACACTAGTAGATTAAGTGACGAGGTACTGTTGAACTAGGGATTACAGAGATGAGTGACTTAGATTAAATAGTAAAGAGTATTCTATTTTAAAGGCAATGTGAATAAGGATGCCTCTGGGAAAGGGATGTTAACTGGAAAGATAGGAGGATAGGATAATACTAATAATTTTCCCGTTTTCGTACATTGTGTTGGGCTAAATATCATGTGTATTGCACTACAAGGTTTTGTAAGCACCATTTGTAAGGTTAATTGTAATTAAAATGAAATTATAAAATTAACATCATTCGGTTAGGAAGAAAATTAATTTTAATGAATGCTCAATTCAATTTAGTTGTCTAAATAGCATGTATTTTATTTAATAGTACGAAATACGAAAACTGTACTCAATATCTTTGAACAGTTTGGATAACATCATCGAAATGTTGAATAGTTCAAATGGAATTCGATACTCAATCAATTGATACCGCAAACGAAACTCCTCTAAAACCCTCGTTAAGAAAACCCGTAGCGTGACTCCTACGACAATTATTCCGTCCCAATCACGGCCAATTAAAATTAACTCCGACACAAGGACTGCCCGCATGCGTGTCCAATCATTTTAATTAACCCTAATGAATGCCTACAACAGGGACAGAGCCACGAATCGTCCGCAAAAAGTGTAGGAATAGTCGATACCTTGTTGGAAGGTGAGGAAGAGCAGGGTGGTGGGGGGACGGGTCAATCTGTCAAACCAGGGGGAGGGGAAGTGTCACAGCGAAGGGGAAGTAGGGGAAGCTTACCACCTCCATGACGGACGTCTGTGATTGGTCGAGCCCGCGCAGACGCAATGGAGTGTCCCCGCTCACTGGTGGACTGACGCGCCCCTCTCCTGCGACAAAACAAAGTGGAATAGCATAGAGAAAACACCACAATACACATTGCAATAGAGCATACAGTGCAACGAGCATTGAGCAAGCATATAGTTGAATGTATTGTCATGGGTGTGTGGTAGTTTATGTGGTGTATGTATTGTGTAGTTGGGCAAGTTAGGCTAAATATTTATATATTTTATATAAATTACACAACTATACAATAATAGAAAACTATATATAAATTGGTAGTTATAAAGCATAGAGAAATCATCATAAATCCAAAGAGCACACAGCATGTATACAGTTGGAATTGTATTGTTATGATCATGGGTGTGTGTTCGTTCTCCGTACGTTGGGATTTCGATGTATTTTTTAAACACATAGTGTTAAACACTTTTTCAAATTCAAAGAAGAATTCGTTAAGAAGATTATGAGTTACAAGCTTAATTCATATAAAACAACATTACTCTTGCAGTACTTAATATTTAGACAACATTTTTGATTTGTTTATACTGATACTACAATTATTTTGCTTTAATTTTATACGTGGTGGATGTATCAATACTATGGTTCTTTAGTTTAATATGATCGGCCAACTTAACATAGATTTATTATTTATACAAATACTTCACGATCCATATAAAGATGACAATTCACTTAAAAATGTAAACATAACAGTAATCAATTCTTGTTTCGAAAGCTCCTTATGCGTTTTTAAAATAACAAAAAAAAAAAAACTATACCAATACGAATACAAAATTCATTATTTCAAATTTTTGAGCTGTTTTCTCACAAAGCTTATAAGCATTTCGCGGAAATGCCACAAAATATAGACTACTTAAAAACATAGACTACATAGTTCGAAAACGCAGTGCGTTCTTTAAAACTGCAACACTAAACTAGAAAACTCCTAAACTAAAATTGTCACAATAAAAACCACAACGGCAAACAGATACAAAGGTAGTCTACGATTAGGGGGAGATCGACTATACAAACTCCCTCCATAATTAACTGTTCAGACAACAGGCTGGCCTAAATCTGGCGGGAAACAAATCATGTGTTCAACAATGAGCCACATGTTTGTGTCAAAGGGCGAACAGAACTAACAGCTGTCCAACATCGATTACAGGTGTTCGTTTATTGTTTTGAGGATAGATTGACAAAAGAAAAAGAACTGTGTGCTGAAAAAGCATTTCCCTACTGGGGAAATTATCAATAGTTTAGAAAAAAAAATGGTTATGGGATAAAATAAAAGTATTTTACCCGTGCAAGGCTTAATTGGAAGTTCCGTCCTCATTCAAATACTGGTCTAACATCGATTTAGATCAATTTAGCACATACAACGATAGTACTGAGTATGTTTTCATTTAATTTAAATGTCTATTTCACAAATTACTCACGCCTGCTAAGACTAAAATGTTACTTGAATACTTGAATACTGCATCGGTTGTTTATTTATTTATTTATTCACGGTAACACCATTTATACAATAGTAGTTAGCATAATCAATTACAAGATGGCATAATTTACAACGACACTACATTACTAATGCAACTAATTTCAAACAAAACTGAACTTGAAAAAACTTTGGGTTAAAATTCAAAATTCAAAATTCTTTATTGAGTGCTCTTATACAGCTTAACAGCCAATTACATAAGGCACTAATACACAATAACATAAATTACATGCATGACAACTACCCTACAGCAAACAGCATACAATTTTGATACATACACATAAAAAATATTAATGATGTTAGTATGATATTCAAGGAAAAACAACAGACAATAATAAAAGGCAATGCAGACAAAAAAACAATCAATGTCTAATTGTCTTAAATGTTTAACAAGCAGAAATAATTTAATCGGTCAAATATTTTGACAGCAAATGGGATATTCGTAATCTGTACAAAATAGCAGTCTGTTCATTTCTTTATACATAATCATTGCAGGGCTATACAAATTGATAATATTAGCTAGAAGAAGCTTATTCAGAAAATTCCACAAAATTGATATCACTCAGCAAATTAAATAAATTTACGAATATTATGGTTTTAGCTAAAATATTTCAGTATAGTTTGTAATTAAATTGCCTTGACTTATAAGTCAAGACAAAGTACACTACTCAACTTAGCTAATACCACTGTTTAAGAAACCAAATTATACCCATACTACGTTGAACAACAATGTTCAAGCTTCAAGTCTTTATCGATCCTTCCAACCAATCATACACAACTATCAACAACTTCCGAAGAATAATGGGATGTAATACAGTCGATGCTTGTGAACATGTCCAAGGATATAGGACGAAGATGAGGACGGGTCCTTAATTAAAAGACATGGATCAGAGGATCTGATAATGTCCTTCATATACAACACGCAAGCATCGTTAACACTGGATACTCATGACATTGGGTAAAGTCATACATGTCGTTAAACCTAATGATAATTATCCTGTTACCTCCAGGTAAAAAGTAATTTACAGTAGTGGAACTATGAGTAGTTATACACTTATTGGTTATCTAGTGAAGGTATTACTCTAGTGAAGAGCATACAGAATTACGAAAATAATTTTCCATGATTCATTATTTGATCGTTTTGATCGTTCAGTGATGACTCAAAGTAAAAGTAACAATAAAACGTGTTCTAATTAAGGGGAGTCCGAGGTCCTATCTTTAGTAATGTTAACTAAATGTCACTTTTCTCAGGAGTTAGAACAGGTATGATAGTGAAACTTGGTATACTTTTATATTAACTAATTAACTAGTCACAGACACAAGATTTTTCATTTAAAATTAAAAATAACTATTTTATGGGTTTTTATAGATTTTAAAAATAGTTGTTTAAAAAATAAAATGTATTATTTTTTTTACATGCTTCTACCAAAGATATGATGAAATTCTTATGTCTGTGTTTAGAATAAGTCACTAAGACTACATAGTAAAAATTTCACAGCTGTATGTATTACCAGTCCTGAAAAAATGACATTAAAGTTCTAAAAAGTAAAGTTGCGGAAATCGGCAAGAAAAGCCTCCAAGGGTCAACCAAGGATCTACTAGTTTTACCTTTAAAACGCCACTGCAATGTTATGGAAAATATATTTTTTTATACATTTCTAAGTTATTAATTAAAAATGTAAGTATACCGTTTTTAAGAAAAAATTATGTGCTATAAAAAGGACATAAAAAGTAAAAATTGAAAAAAATTAAAAAATGTCGGCTTTGACTCCCCCGTAAATTGCCAATTTAAAAGAGTGATAGTGTTAGTCTAACTTAAACGTCAGGGATTCTTAATACTATAATTATTAGTCTTATTCGATTTATTTAAATAATAAGTTAATCGGCCAGTTAATTGTGCCAATCACATTAATTTGTAAACCTCATCAAATATTCTTCGAACCATAAAAGAACAACAATATTGCTATCCAAACGTCACAACA